GCTCAGCAGCCTTACTGAAGAAATATTTTCCATTGAAATGAGTAGCACATTTGCTGCCAATTTTTTCCTTCCGATTATGTACGTTAAGGACGTTTTTCTATTAGCAATAAATAGCTTCAGGTGAATACAGTAATCTCTTCGTTCCCACTGAGTGTTGTTTTCACTCCACTGGTCTTTTTTGGAATTCTAATTCAGCACCTCACAGCATCATGCTAATTAATCTCTGAAACATTCAGATACATTCACACATTTACAAGGCAGTTTATCTTTGTGTTTTGGTGTCCTACATCTTGCTAAAATATATAGTATTCTGATGTGTGTATGCATGCATGTGTGAAGCTGCACAGACACACACACACACACACACACTACAGTATAGGTTGTCAGTCCATAGACATATTAGAATTACAATTAAGAACAGTTGGACTCTTATACACTTTAAAGTACAGCATGAGTTTTCCAGTCCCTTTTTGATAACTGCAGCTATAATATAATACAGTGGCAGAAAAGTAAATTACACACCAAAAAATCCATTTCCATGCTAATGGAATGTGCTGTATGAGACTGTTAGCATGCTTTCAGAGAGCAAATAGATGTTATTTAAGAAACTCACTGCTAGAATAAAGGTGTGCATTAAAATTACTGACTGTACAGATTCTAGTCAGCTAAAAATCTATTTCCTTTCTAATAAAATTGTTTGTTTATTAAAAGAAAACACAGGATGAAATCAATGACAAATCAAAGAGCAGAGACATTCTACCCTGGGCTGGGATCTTTCATTTCAAAGCCCTATAACTATTCCTACAATAATACCTTAAGAATGGATCAAATAAGATCTTGAAATTCTGTGTATGTCAACTAAGAGTATTTCCTTTCAGTTTTCATACTGCAAGAATCAAATTCCCCTTTAAATGCCCTTAGCTGGAGAAAACACTGTGGTAAATTTCAGATGAAAGCTGTGTTAATCATAGTTACACAAAATAAACAAAAAGTAAGTGTGTGTGTGTGTGTGTGTGTGTGTGTGTGTGTGTGTGTGTGTGTGTGTGTGAGAGAGAGAGAGAGAAAGAGAGAGAGAGAGAACCCCCATACTAAATCTGTGATTTCTATGTTTCCCTCATATGAAAAGATTTACAGACCTCAAAAGCAGACAGGTAAATGGCACACTCCCAGAGACTGCCTCTTTGATCTCCAACAATTTTGCTTGGTCACTCCTTCCTGGCACTATGGTATAGAGCCTATAAGAATTTCTTATTGCTGGGAGAGTGAGATGTGGCAGTGAATTTTGAGGTGGAAATGGAGTAGGTCTGGTCAAGTACAGCAGGCGACAGATCATAATTATTCTTGTCAATACAAGTTGTTGATTTGCTTTGCTGGTGTTCACCTTCACTTTTATTTGGAGTCATTCAAGTGAGTGAGTGTGTGGGCTCACGTATGATCTCAGAGAGGAAAAGCACTGTGGAAACGAGAATATTTACACTGCAAGTGCTCTGACAGCCATGTTTAAAAGCTATTTGTTATCATTTGCATACACTTACTGGTGAATTTTACATGTTTGAAAACAGTTCGCAAAAGAGAAAAAATAGCACTCATAGGGTGTGTCTAGACTACATGCCTCCTTCGACGGAGGCATGTAGATTAGCCAGATCGGAAGGGGGAAATGAAGCCGCGATTAAAATAATCGCGGCTTCATTTAAATTTAAATGGCTGCCCCGATCTGCCGATCAGCTGTTTGTCGGCAGATCGGGGGAGTCTGGACGCGATGCCCCGACAAAGAAGCCTTTCTTCATCGACACAGGTAAGCCTGGTTTCACGAGGCTTACCTGTGTCGATGAAGAAAGGCTTCTTTGTCGGGGCATCGCGTCCAGACTC